GTAGAACTCTATACTAAGCAATTTAGTAGCAACTTCATTTTAAAGGTTTACTATTGTGCGTGGTATACTTGGGTTATTAGGAGTTTGCCACATGAAATCCCATTCAATTGAGTCAAAAGTATTTTCAAAGTCGATAAGATAGTGTACAGTGTTAAATTAAATTCAATTAATTGATTCTATTGAAAGAGCTATTTTTTCCGCTTTAAAATATTTATATCTATTATTGGCTACAGACTATGGAGTCATCAGGAATATTACATATGAGTTATATACACTTCTAACAGTTAATACATTGGGTATTTGTAAATATGTTGGCCTTATTCATAATTATTTCGGAGCCTTTTGTGAAGCCTGTTTAATTTGGGAAGCTATTTTATTCTCTTCAAAAAATCATGTCACCGCAATAATAAATTCATTTTTGCTTCTTACCAGCTCATTTATAGAGGTTTGTATTAGGGTATCGGTTTTATTTACATTCACTTCGCAGCCCTTTATGGCCAACGCAACAGCTATTTTGTTACTGTCAATGTGCCTATATGTAAGAGATTAATAAAAAAAGGGGCATTGTGTCATTAGGAAGATTAGCTATAATTTATATATACTTTTAAGTAGATCACACATCATGTTTGTATTAATGTGACATCAACGTTAATATTATTTTTGAACCTTTTCTGGAGACTATATCATATGGAGTTAGCGTATTCCGTTAAATTAATCATAAGTTCTTAGCAGCATTAATTATAAGCCACCGGTGCTCCTAAATAGTTTACATAGTGAGGTTTATAATAAGATATCGACATCATTTATAACTATTACAAAACCTCTCGGACCAACCCATCTAGTATCTTTTTCCCTTTAGCATGTTTATATATATATATATATATATACTCAGAAAAATAATTAGATTGAACTCAGGTCAAAATATTCTTACTCGACGCATTATGTTAGTTCAAACAAACCACATGTTGGTTTTCTTATTTTCTTTACCACATGAGATAAAATTTCTCTAACAAAATGATCAGGTCATTTTAACTAGTATGTGGTTAGATCTTATTTTTCTGAGTGTAGAACCTAAAAAAAATTGAGAACTTGTGATGATGAATAAGACCATAAGTTTTATCTTAGGAGTATTAATCAAGTCATCTATGATACTAAACAGTCGGTCTCATTTATATGCATTACGGAGCCTCTTCCGGTTATTTATGTCTAACAGGCAAAATTATATTAATTTGTAATTAAGAAATAGTTTCAAAAGTATGTATTAGAAATTTTTGAATCAAGCACAAATTACTTAATTTCTATGTTTTTTTTCATGGCTTTAAGAAGAAGAAAGAGTCGCTTAAAGTATTAAATAACGCTTTAATAACGTTATTTCAATTATCTAGCAAATTTCGGTATTTAGAACAAATTAAATAAAACAAATCGCTAGCACGAAATTCAATTCTGGAATTCAAACAGAGACAATCACTGAAGTATCCGGAATGGCTTAGAGATTTAAATAAGCTGTCGTCATTTTGTTGCTGTTGTGGCTCATTGGCGACACTAAGCTCAATGCAAATTGTAGCTCGAATTTAACTAATTTTTCCAAGTAAAAGAATGAAGACAATAATCTACGGAAAGCAATGACATAAAAAAAGAGTCATAAATCGAGACGAGTTGCACGATTCGATTAGTGAGTCTTCAAGAGACCTCAAATTGAAATAACGTCCTTTTGGTAAAAAGTAAATACCACCTTCCAGTTACCTTTGATTGTGATTATTTTTCTACTGGAGTCCAAACAGTAATCCAGTAAAATTCTTATATTTCTATTTACAAATTTTATTTTTGTTTGCATTATTAACACAATTAAAATCAAAATATTACTGGCCTGCAATTCATCTGGGGTTGTGCAATCAACTGCACAAAGGATTTTAGCGAAATTAATTTCATTTCAATTAATTCGTAAATAAAACCGAATGCGGTTAGGAATTTTTAATTAAAATTCACTTCACTTCTCAGGTCGCTGTCATGGCACGAAAAATAGCAATAACAGCTTCTGGTATTATTTTCAGTATCACCTCTCCACTTATAATTAAAATTTCATTTGCGTGTAGTCGAAGTTCTCAAAATTACGTTTATAATTATATATATTGTAATTAATTTTTTTTTTTTGTATATGGAATTTACCTTATGTTTACTTAAAAGTAAGTAAAATCAATTGAACACTGAGATGCGTGATGGCAACAATTTTATTCATCATTAAATTTACCATGGCGATGGCCTTAAACTTTAGAGTTGCATTTAAAACTAGACTGACTACAAATATAATGTCGCCTGCTGACGATGATCGAAATGATGTATATATAGTTTCTTCTTCGACTTCTCTTTGGATGGCCGCAAGTCCCAGACTAAATTCGATAAGCTACGTGGTCGCGACAGACGACGCGTTTTCTTTTCGGGTAATTTATTTGAATCGCCCGATGTGCGTCCACCACTGCGCGATGAATCAAGTGTGCCTTCACGCGGATTGTGATGAACAACACCAATGCCAACACCTACTCCAGCAGTGCTAGCACTTTTGCTTAGCGGTTGGTTGTGCTGTAGATGGGCGTGTGAGTTTATGTTGCTATTGCATTTGAGCACCACATCTGGTGGTACTGTTTGTCCTTTGGGATTTGTTGAGATCGGCGGTGTGATTGAGGTGCTTTCAGGTGTCAATTGTAGACTGCTGAGACTCTTATACCTTAAATTAATTATTGAGATGAAAAGAGGATATTGAAATAATTTGAAAATACTTTTACTGTAATAATGATTATTAATGTAAGACTTAAAATAACTAATTTGAATTAGATATACAAAAATATTTTAAAGCTAGAAAACTAATGATCTTATCTTTTTAAGCATCCGATTTGAAGGACACCCGGCTGTTTTCAACACCTTTTACATTAAGCCACTTAAGAGTCAAATCATCAATTAGATCATGGTACAGTGCTATTAAATATTATTATGTTAAAAGCTAGTTGAGTCAGAGTGCACTTGAGCACTTCTACTCTGTATTAACTGCGAGGTTTATTTAAAATCCCTCTCTACGTCTTGACTGAATTCTTGTTTATCGCTTCATCAGACTAAGTAATAATTGACCTTAGATCTGCATACCTCCCCGAGGAACCTGTAACCATTCTGAGATTCGATAACGCGATGTTGGAAACCATGTCAGTTTTCGTAAATAATTTCAGGGCACAACGACAACTCTGTTTCATTAAGTTGCTGCTTTCCAATTATTCCTCGCTCAGTCGGTCTCTGTGATCCAGAGACCAACTGAGTCATACACGTATTAATCGTATATAATATAATAAAAGTATATAATATATTTCAAAAGATTATATTAGAATACTAATATAAGTAATACTATCGTGACGTATCTTCGATTTAGAACTCTTAAATCCTACAGCTATTACAATGTAAAATAAACTCCTAATAATTATAAAAGTAGTGCTCGTATTTACCTGATATGAAAGAGTGGCGATTGTGGTTCCAAACCGCAATCCTTGTTCAAAATGCCGGCACTTAGTGGGACATTACCATTTAGTGCTTGATGATTATTTGGTGTCAGTACTTTAGCTGTCGCGCCATTATGGGCGTGATAGTGATGCGCTGCAGCAGTTGTAGTCACAACAGCAGTACCGGCATGTGGATGATGATGATGATTATGATGATGATTACCAACATTTGAATTACCATTACTGCTGCTTCCTGCGCTGTGCGTGTTTTTCAAATAAAGCTTTGGTAGTGTCGGACGTTGACGTTTTTCTGGCAATTTTTTACCAGGTATTGTTTCGATAGGTGGCGGCACTGGCTTTATATCTTCTTGCACTAGAATATGGCTATGGTGATAATGATTAACACCAACATTTGACTGCTGATGATGATGATTATGCGAGTGACTTTGATGATGATGATGGTGATGATGATTACTGTTGCTACTACTATTGTGACTACTATTTGTGTTTGTATGCTTATTCGAGTCTAAGCTACTATAGTTGTTGTTGTTGTTATTTCCAGTGCTATGATTTGCATTACTGCCATTTGTATTTAGGCTATTGCTGTTGCCATTATTATTGTTGTTATTGTTGCTATTGTTATTATTACTATTATTTTGTGAATGGCCCACACGTATGAGACTACAATAATTTCCACTACTATCTGTATGATGTGATTTAATTGTGGGCGTTTCACAAATAGGTTCAAATCGCGTCAAGCCCTTCGAGAGCGGTGTTAGGCCACGGACGTAATCGTATATGTGATCTATTTCATTATATTCTTCAGCGATTTCACTGCTTATTGCAGCCGCCTGACTTTTGCTGTAAGAATCACAGCTGGCACTTTTTCGCAGCACGTAACCACCTTCCATTAGACCAGCTGCAGCCACAGCTACACCAGCTGCTGATGGCAACATAACCACGGGTAATTTATTACGGCTACTGAACTTAGAGTCCTTTTTCTCTTTCTCTGATAGTTTGAGATCGACAATTTGTAGACGATCACGTGCATCAGACAACAGACGCTGTGCCTTCTCCAAAAAACGTGAATATTCTATGAAGTGTTCTAGTTGCTCCATATTTTTGACACGTTGCAACTTAATTTTCGCATTTAGTGGCACCGGTACCAAGTCATTATCCTTCTGTAGTGGTAAAGCAAATATGCGATCGATTTCAACACAGCCAAGTAAACGTAATTCAGGGACAAATGGTTGTTTAAGACCTTTAGGTGCGCTACCATGGACTAATCTATTAGTGGGAAAATAATAAATTTTAAAAAGAGAAATATTTATTATATTCTCAAAATGAAATTTAAGATTGAATTTATATAGCAATAGAAGCATCATAATGATATACTCACCTCACAATAACAGGCATACGTTTCATTAGTAGATTTTTCACCGTATGCACTCCACTAATGCTATCCTCCTTGGCAATGGGTGAAAATTTCGCTTTGGTATCGAGTGGCAAATTAATGATTTCATCTTTGATGTTTTTGCACTGTAAATATTTGCCATTATCATTCATTGTGGTCAACATTTCACCTGCATGAATCGTGCGATTCATTTGCGTGCACCGAAACGTTTCTCGCACTAGAACGCGTAAGTTCCTTCGCCTTGATAATTCTAGCACCGAATCGATGCAGCGCGTAGAACGACCATCTTCGCTTAATAGCTCAAAGTAACCCGTATAGGTTTCCGGTATAAGCACCTTGGCACCTACATTTGTGGGCTTGCGTCCCTCCTTGATTTTTATTGGTTGCGCTAGTATTTGATATTTTTTGCCAGCGCTTAAGAATAGTGCTGTGCTTTGCAACGAAGGTGCAGACAATGTCGGAACGCCTAAATTCTGATGTTGTCCTTTCACAATTTTCGCTACGGCAGGTAACTTTTGTTTGGAAAAGTCACGTATATATACCGGTAGGGTCTCCCCGAAACGGGAGGCAGCCAATATTATTTGGCCATCTGTGGCGGCCATGTCGCGATTGAAAAACGATAACAGTTTGAAACGTCCGAAGTTAACATTAATCGAGAGTAAATTTCATTGAGGTTGAGCGCCACTCTGTAATGTTGTGGCGTTAACGCTTGTGTCTATACGTTCTTCCGTTGATGAGCCAACTACTCCGTTCTCTGTCAAATTGGCGTTGAGTTGGTCGACAGTTTGCGAGGAACAGCTGTTATTGTTGGGACAGGTGTTGTTGTTGTTAATAGTGGAAGTTGTATTTGAGGTGGTTGCAGAGGTGGAGAGAAAACGTGAGGAAGTTTGTAATGCGTAGTTAAGATACTGCATTCGGTTGGCTCGTTACGTAGTTACGTAGTTCTTATAAGATCAAATATTGTTCCTCTTTTATTCTTTAGTACCGCAATTTTAGTAAACTGTAAGCAAAAAGAAATTATAATTAGTAGAAATATTTAAAATATATTTATTTTAAAATTAATTCAAATTAAAGAAATTTTTTATAACAGATATACAGTAATCCCCCCTATAATGCGGTACCCTTATAACGCGTTTTCATATTAAGCAATTTCAATCCCTCGCATAACACGGGCATTCCCACAGTTCATAATTAGCCTCGCATATCTTTGCACGTGTGTATACGGGGTATACAGGAATACCACTATAACGTTATCTACCGCGTTATAGGTGCGATTACTGTATAAGAGAGTAATTAACTGAAGCTAATAAAGTAATTCTTGAACCATGATACTGAGGAGTTATTTATGGAAGAAATGGATGGGTTGCGATTTTTTTGTGTGAACATGTCGGTGATGGATAGTCAATCAATTCGTACAACATAAATTCAGAAATTAAATGTTCAAATATTTACTTGTGATATTATTTTATAAAAATTTATCTTTAAAAAGAAAGAAAACTATAAATGTTTCATATCAAATTTGAATTATTTCGAACAGCTCTTATGAATACCGCCTTATGCTTCCTAATTAGAGTTTTATTTTACATATTTTATCTGGTCGAATAGTTTTTATTTAGATTTTACATTCATTTGCGTATATTTATACCTTGACCATCTATATTCTATGGTACTTCAGAGCTGCACTCGAAATGCTTGCAAAATGTGATTTTACTTTTTATAGGAAATCTATGTCAACTTATTAGAAATTTATGGTCGTATTTGCTCTCTGCCATGACTGCATAAAATCAGAACACAAAGTTTTCCACATAGAAGAGCCAATGTCATCTGCTATTTGAACATGTTCCATTAAGTCACTTTTGTGTGGTACTTGAAAAGCAATTACAAAAGTTTATCGTGCATCGACAGCACTGGGAAGTCGCATCATGGCATTTAGTTGCATTTATACTGAAAAGTACTTTTGATGCTGTTGCACTACGTATTTCATATAAGTTACTTGCATTTCGATATACAAGCTTTTTTTGATGGCAAAGGCAATTTGCCTCTTTAGAAATAGTCAAATGTACTCATACGTTCAGTTGATATCACAATTTGTAGTTTCACAAAGTCAGTAAGTCAGCTCACAGAGTAAAAATTATTTTTATTCAAAAAATTTATATAAAAAACTATTTATAACTTTTATCTTTGTTATAAAATTTCATCAAAGCAAAAAATTATTCATACTTTTTGCAAAAGTTATAAGAGATCAGCTTTTGGAATAGCAAATTTACTTCGTACATTGTGACATGGCACAACTTAACCATACAATAACGCAATTACTTACTAATTTCTAAAGAGGCAAATTGCCTTTGCCATCAAAAAAAGCTTGTGTATCGAAATGCAAGTAACTTATATGAAATACGTAGTGCAACAGCATCAAAAGTACTTTTCAGTATAAATGCAACTAAATGCCATGATGCGACTTCCCAGTGCTGTCGATGCACGATAAACTTTTGTAATTGCAACCAAAACTTTTCAAGTACCACACAAAAGTGACTTAATGGAACATGTTCAAGTAGCAGATGACATTGGCTCTTCTATGTGGAAAACTTTGTGTTCTGATTTTATACAGTCATGGCAGAGAGCAAATACGACCATAAATTTCTAATAAGTTGACATAGATTTCCTATAAAAAGTAAAATCACATTTTGCAAGCATTTCGAGTGCAGTTCAGAAGTACCATAGAATATAGATGGTCAAGGTATAAACATACGCAAATGAATGTAAAATCTAAATAAAAACTATTCGACCAGATAAAATATGTAAAATAAAACTCTAATTAGGAAGCATAAGGCGGTATTCATAAGAGTTGTTCG